TGTGTGTGTGAGAGTGTGTGTGTGTGTGTGTGTGTGTGAGAGTGTGTGTCGTCTGCATCACCTGGGGTCTGGAAGTTCAGTGCTACCATCTGGCAGCCGGCGTTCCAGAAGATCTGTGGCATATAATTACTGGAGTCCACTCGGCCTCCTTTGGGGTAGATGCGACTCATCTGCCGTTTGTTGTAGCTGCACATCTCATTCAAGGAAACTAAAATGGAAAGGTTTAGGGGAGTTCTGCACACTTTAAACTCCGCTTTATCCTGGAAGGCATCCTCACGCAGCAGGTCTGCTGCTTCACACTACAAACAAGAACAGAGATGTGACGGATCTCTCATTAGAAACTCCAGACCTTAGTCAGTCAGTCTCATGTGCTTCAGAAGATTTCATCTTAGTTAGAAGGAACCGGCACACACACACACACACTATGACTTCATGCATCCGCTGGAAATCACTGAAACGCCAGCTGATTAAAAGACGCTGGGATCAAAAACGGCATTTCTTCATCAAAAATTATGAACAAAATAAGTTGGTGAGGATAAAAGATCCTGCAGCATTTGAAAACCAATCACACACGATTTATTCTTGTGCGCTTAAATGCAGTGAGAGTCAGTTTGATTCAAGGACGTTTTGGGCCATTGTAATTACTCTACAAATGTGAATAAATTCCATTAAAAAACATTAGATTTCAGTATGTAAAATGAAATAAAATAAAATAAATGTAATAAATATGTGCATATATTTTTCTATTTTCTAATAAAAATAAATTATAAAAATTCTATAAATTTAATAAATAAAGCTTACATTAATAAATAAAAAATAAATATAAAAATAAAATATAAAAATAATTTAAAAACATTAAAAAATTAGGTTTCAATATTAAATCAGTATTTATTTTGCTAATAAATATAAAATCTAAATGAGATAAAAATTAATGTAATAAATATATGCATATATTTTTTATTCAATAATAAAAAATAAAACGATGCAAATTCTATAAATTTAATAAATGAAAAATAAATTCACAAATAAAAAGTAAAAACAATTTAGGTTTTAGTATACAATGTCTGACATTTAATTAGCTAAAAAATAGAATTCTAATTGAAATAAAATAAATCTAATAAATATATGCATATAATTTTATATTCACTAATAAACAATTAAATTATAAAAATACATTTAATAATTAGAACATAAATTCACAAATAAAAAATAAAACAAAAAATAATTTACAAAACATTAAAACACTACGTTTCATTATTAAATGTCTGACATTTAATTAGCTAATAAATAAAAATCAAAACAGAATAAAATAAATGGAATATATATGCATATATTTTTATAGTCACTGATAACAAATTTAATAATAAACATTTTATGAATTTAATATAAAAAATTAATTCACAAATAAAAAAAATAAAAAAAGAAAACATTAGGTTTCATTATTAAATGTCTGACATTTAATTTGCAAATAAATAAAAATTAAAATGGAATGAAATAAAAGTAGTAAATATATGAATATATTTTTATATTCACTAATAAAAAATAATCATGAAAATTCAATACATTCGATAAATAAAAAATAAGTTCACAAATAAAAAATAAAATAATAAAAAAAGAATGCTTTTTCATGTATTTTTTATATATATTTTATTCCAAAGATGATATTATATTTCCTAATAAATAAATAAAAATAATGTAATAAAGTAAATGTAATAAATAAAAAAATAAATTCACTAATTTAAAAAAAAATGACTATGATATTACCTCTAGAGTTTATTCATAAATTTTGTACACAGCAGTGAATAGAAGGCATTAAACTGTACTTGCAAAAAAATACTGCAAACTGTATCTAACTATCCCTCTTATTTGTTGCACTCGCACGCCCCCTGGGAACAGAGACGTAAACTACAGCTTTAACAGCAAAAAGTTAATAAAATATAACTAAAGTTAAAGGTGCACCAAGTAACTTTTTCCTATTTAAATGGCTTTACATCTAAAGAAATGTGTTTTAAATGACCATGCATGAGATACTCACATGAGCAATTGTTTCATGCTACAAGGCATAGCCAGTCACAAGGTCAGCTAAATACATTATCGCTGTTATATGGGACACTTTTAGTGCAGAATAAATTATTAATAAGAGCCAGGCAAGCATTTCTACAATAGTTACCAAACTCTTTTGCACGATGTTGCATCCTTTTAGTCCAGGACCACTTTTATAAGATAAATACTTTGTGCACATTTAAATGAGAACCATAAATTCAATATTTAGCTTTCAAGGGGCAGAAAGTGTATGAGACAGGAGTCAGCATGCAAAACAAAGGATACTTCACAAATTCAATGGCGTTTGTCCTTAAATATCCCAAACCGACAGACTCGTTGAAGGAAGACATGTTGTGGTGGATATTTTTTTCTGTGGACAAACAGACAAGATGTGGAGATTAAAGATTAAAAACATACATCTCACTACTGGAAAAAAAAACGACTGAATGTGAAACTAATGCAATACTCTAAAATATAGTGTAGAAACAATACAATAATGATAATAATGAAAAAAAAACATTACAAAAAAAATTTACTAAAATTAAAACAAAATTTTAACATATTAAACAAAAGACAAACACGCATAATATTACTAAAAAAATTCAATGAAAACTGAAAATAGTACATTTACAAAATTAAATGTTAAAATCACAACAAAAATGACAAAAAAAATTAACATTTTGAATTAAACCTAAAAATGGTAATATTACAAAAAAACCTAATGAAATGACAAAAGCATAAAACAAAATTATTGAAAAATAAACTAAAATTAAAATAAAAACAGGAACTAGTAATATTAAAAAAACAATAATATAATACAATGACAAAATCCATAAAAATACTAAAAGTAAACTAAAACTAATAAAAGGACAGAAGCACATAATAAAATGACTAAAAAAACTCAAATTAAAATGATAGTAATATAAAAAACGAAAAGTGACAAAAGCACATAACAATATTACTAAAAATGTAACTAAATGGAAAATAGTTATGTTTAAAAAAAATAAGAAAATGACAAAGGCATATAACAAAATTACTAAAACTATACTAAAATTTAAATATATATATATATATATATATAAACCAACTCTAAATTTTCCAAATATTCATAATTGAAAAGACTCATAAAAACTATAATACTACAGAAATAATACTAAAAATAATCAGGCCTAAATATTGTCTTTTTAGTGCAAAATGCACTTGCCTTCGGCTTCATCAAAGCTGGTGAACTTGACGGCCTGGGCGTAGTTGATGATGTTGGACAGATACGGGTGGATGTTAGTAGTGGCCGCAACATACGTGTACGACTGAATCAGTGCTTGTTCATCAGCCACATTCGTTTCACCAGCCTGTGAAAATATAGCAGTCAAACCATTACAATAATAGAAATATTAAGGAAATGTGCCGTGTTTGTCCGAGCAGATCTCACCAGCTCAAAAGTGTTTGTTCAAATCTCTAACTCTGAGTTTGCTTTGCTAACAAGCTCCAGTTCTCAACAGTTTCTTTATGCACGGCGATGACAGCGAGATTCCCGTCATCAGAAGGAAAGAGACAGTAATGGGTAAATCTGGCAGAAATATTAAAGCTTCTTCAGCCCATTATCATGATAAAAGGCTTCGAGTGAAGTCTGTGTTAATTCATGACACTCCTCACCAAAGAACAAAAACTCATGATTGTCTCCATTTCTCTGATCTTTGAAGAAGAAAAAACTGTCAGAAGTTACTTTAATAAAGCAAACCGGGGCCAGTTTTAAAAATGCATTTCAAATAGAGAAATGATAACTTCTTTAAAAGATAAAAGCAACAGTTCACGCACACAACTTAATTTCTTCTGTGAAAAACAAATATATATTTTTTTGTTTTTAACTAAAACCATAAAAATATTTTTGTAACCTAAAAATAAAATGAAATACAAAAAAAAAACAATATAAAAATATACAAAATATATAAAAAAAGCTAGTCGACCACATTTCTAATTTTCATTTATATGTATCTTTAATATGTATTTCATTTATATATATTAATATAAAATAAAATAACTATAAATAAAACAGAAAAAAAGTTCTTAAAACTATATAAATATAAAAAACGAATAAAAATGACAGAAATGCAAGAAAATGACTAACTCTTTAAAATTAAAATTAAAAATGTAAAAATAAAAAATTGCAATAAAAATTCTAATTATTTATAAATATATACATATTAAAGATACAAATGTGGTCGACTAGCTTTTTTTATATTTTTTGTATATTTTTATATCGTTTTTTATATTTCATTTTATTTTTAGGTTACAAAAATATTTTTATGGTTTTAGTTAAAAACAAAAAAATATATATTTGTTTTTCACAGAAGAAATTAAGTTGTGTGCGTGAACTGTTGCTTTTATCTTTCAAATAAGTTATCATAAAATAAATTTTTTTAAAAATTGCAATAAAAATGAAAATTATTTATAAAAAGTGAGTGCATGTAAAAAAAAGAAGTAAAAATCCAAAATATTAATTAAAACTATAATGGTATATCAGTGAAATTATAATAACATGGATAAATCAGCATAAAAGCAAATACATGCAGTGGAAGCCACTTTTAAGATACTTTTATTGTGTTTTTGACGTCACTATGAAGTGTCTTTGTAACTAAAAACAATTAAACTCAAAATAAATATTAATAAAGGTTAAATAAAATACTTATTAAAAAAAAGGTTATACTACAAAAAGACAAAAACACAAGAACAAAATTACTGAAACTTTAACATTAAAAAGGGAAAATATGTATAAAAAAATCTAAATATTAATAAAAGCTATAATATAACACTGATCAAAGCAAGTGATTATAGTGCAAACCATTTTAGGATCACAATATTAATAAAAAACTATAACAGTATATCAATGATAGTAAAATACCACTGATAAAAGCACCATAAATGCTTCACTGTAAACTACAGCGTAGAGTATGTGCTTGTATTTTAATATAAACTGTCACTGCACGGAAAAGAAACAAACAGCAGACTTGTTTGGAGTGACATGAGGGTGAATAAAGTGAATTTTGATTTCTGGGTGAATTATGGCTGTAATGGTGATTATGTAAGGATACTGTAAGGACCTTTCTGGGTCGGAGCGCCTCTTCCTCACGATTCTCTTCCTCAGTGATCAGACATCCGTGAATCCGCTCGGGATGAGCTTCGTTCAGCAGCTCTGCTACGGATTCAAATATACATTTCATTACTGGGAAAAAAGACTAAATGTGACCCTGGACCACAAAACCAGTCATAAGGGTCCATTTGAATTTGACCCTTTTTTAAATTTTGAAAAATTTAAATTGAGATTTATATAAATAAATAAGCTTTCCATTGATGTATGGTTTGTTAGGATCGGACAATATTTGGTCGAGATACAACTATTTGAAAATCTGGAATCTGAGGGTGCAAAAAAATCTAAATATTGAGAAAATCATCTTTAAAGTTGTCCAAATGAAGTTCTTAGCAATGCATATCACAAATCAAAAATTAAGTTTTGATATATTTACAGTAGGAAATTTACAAAATATCTTCATGGAACATGATCTTTACTTAATATCCTAATGATTTTTGGCATAAAAGAAAAATGGATAATTTTGACCCATACAATGTATTTTTGGCTATTGCTACAAATATACCCCAGCGACTTAACACTGCTTTTGTGCTCCAGGGTCACAAAAGTGAAACTAATGCAATACTTTAAAATATAGAGTAGAAACGATACACAAGACAATATATGATTAAAAACAAATGCAAATGTTAGCCAATCATAATGGAAATCATTTGCATACAGCAGCAAAATGATCCTGTTCAACTGATCCGAGACTGTTATTTTAATATTATAAATACTATTACAATATTAATTCATATAATGAATTATTTTTAGATTTTTAGTTATCATTTTAGTTTAATTTTTAATTTTAGTTGAAGTTTTAGTAATTATGTTGCTGTGTTTTTGTATTTTTTTATGTTTGTTTTTTTCAGTTATAGTATTTTTATATTTTCTGTTATTTTAATTTTAGTTTACGTTTTGGTACATTTTTATGTGCTTTTGCCATTTTTTTATAAGTTTTTATTAATATTTCTATTTAGCCTTATTTCATTTTTTATTTCAGTTTTGGTTTGAGTAAGTTTAGTACTCAAACTTATTTTATTTCAGTTAGGTAAAATTTTACATTTTCATGAACGTTTTTCAGTGTAATTGTTTTTTAAGTGTTTTTAATGTAATTTATTTTATTTCCACTTTATTTCAATTAACAGAATTTTTATTTTTTTAGTTTCAGTTAATGACAACAACACAGAGACTGGAAAATGACCATGAATATCTCAATTATGACAAATGTATAGAATATGGTGCTTTTACAGCCTGTAACTGGAAGCATTTTAATAGTTTCATGCATAAAGCATTATATGTAAACAGTTTATGGGAATGCATTAACTGAAAAATGAATAGCCTGAATGCAATGTAAGACGCTTTGGATAAAGCCATCTTTTGTTATTAGTATGCAAGGAAACAGATTAGACCTCTAGTTTTAAATACGGTGCAAAAATGTATTGCAACCAAGCAAATAATTAACAGATGTGCTTTGCATTTTAATGACTCTTGCTCACCGGTGGACGTCTCCTCCTCATTCTCATCTTCAGACATGTTTGTGGAGATGCTCGGCTCTCCGGCCTCCATGTGCTTCCTGAAGTGCTCCAGCTGTTCTGTTTGAAAAAGCTTATTAATATACATCACTTTCTATGAGTTTTAGGACCTTGAGAATTACGTTTCTTGACAATGAAACTACTTCACAAAAACAAATATTTACCATGGTTAATTCCAAAATACCATAGTTACTTCATTTATAAATGGCACGTGTGACCAGAACATCATACATATCAGACCAGAACATGAGGATGTGATATTAATTAATTATTTATTTTATTTGCATCTGGTAGAAATAACTGTGGTAAAGATATCACTACTTTTTTCAACTTCAGGTTTTAATCTTCTGTTCTTGATGAGGATTTTTCCTTTGAGGTCATTTGGAGACGGCAGCGGAGACCCGGCCTCCATCTGAGACAGAGTTCAAGTAAAACTTTAGCTAGTAATTGTGTTATGGGGTTCTGAATAAACACACAATATAATACAGGTTTAAAGTGCAATTAAACACACCGGGAAATCATCTAACGGCTGTTTCAGGAGCAAATCTCCAAAAATGTCCTCGCAGTAGCGCGCCAGTTTATACTGCTGATGTTTCCTGAGAGAAACACAACACAGGTGAAATCATACTGTGCATTTCTTTCATAATTATTACAGGATTAGATCACACAAACATGAAAATTAGCTGAAAATGTGCTCACAATCAGGCCATCCAAGATGTAGATGAGTTTGTTTCTTCATCAGATTTGGAGAAATGTAGCACTGCATCAGTGTCTCAGCAATGGATGCTCTGCAGTGAATGGGTGCCGTCAGAATGAGAGTCCAAACAGCTGATAAAAACATCACAATAATCCACACCACTCCAGTCCAACAGTTAACATCCGGAGAAGACAAAAGCTGAAACAACTCCATCATTAAAATGCTTTTAACTTCAAACTGTTACTTGTGGATTATTGTGATGTTTTTATCAGCTGTTTGGACTCTCATTCTGACGGCACCCATTCACTGCAGAGCATCCATTAGTGAGCAAGTGATGCTCACTCTACATGACGCAACTCATCTACATCTTGGATGGCCTGAGAATGAGCACATTTTAAGCAAACTTAAATTTTTGGGTGAACTAATCCTTTAAATAATTATAATGATGTATTCATCTAGTTTGTGAGATATTAATAAGGATAATACGTACGTGCAGTGGTTTTCGAAGGACAGAATCACCGGATACTCTGATGTCAGGAAGGCCGTTTCTTTAATTCCCTGAATGACGTCCTGCATATAACATACTGTAAATGTTTTTCAGGCTAAAGCATTAATACAAATACATTTAATTGACTATTTAAAGCTCCAGAGAAATTGCAGACGCTTCTTTTGCAGCATTTACTGAAAAAAACAACACACAGATATTGATTGTGAACGCACACACTGAAGGTTTCTGTGTTTGTGTTCACCTTGAAGAAGACGTCTGTGCACATGGCCTTGCCGTGGGTGATTATGGGTTCCTGATCTTCACCTTTTCCATCCCAGCAGTCCAACTCAACACACCTGCAAGTCAAACCATACGCCATGTGTTCCGGACACTTTCAACAAAACAAACTCAAAATAACAGATGCTGCAAAAATCCCACTCTTTATACATTATACATCAACAGCCTACAGTAACATGCAAAATTGCAAACCTTTTTTTCAAGATTTCTTATTCTGAAAATGTTCAATTTTCAAGATTTAATTATTTCAAGTGCATTGGCACTACAGTATTATTTTAGTTAGAATTTTTAGCAGATGGCAACATCTTATAATATTTGGTAACACTTTACGATAGTGGCAACTGATAAGGCATTCACATATTTTTTGCAGATTAATAGACGTATAATCACATTTGACAATTTATGAATCAAAGTTGATGTATTTCTCATGGTTTAAAAAGTGCATCAACAAATGACGTTGTAATAATGCAATAATGCTTGTTTTTAAAGAAAGTTATTTCATGAAATGTAAGTGTTACCCATTTAAAAATACCCCCAAATTAATAAATAAATAAATCAATAAATATGATAACACTGTATAGTATCTGCAGGTTAACTGATCAAGTATTTATATACTGTGTTCCATATTAATAGATGTACAATCACATTTGAAAATCAAATGTATGAATCAAAGTTGATGAATAGTATTTCTCATCATTTAGAAAGTTATTAAATTAAATTCAAATGTAACTCATTTAAACATAACCCATAAATAAATAAATAAATATCTGGCAACGCTTTATAATGTATGCAGGCTAATTGATAGGTCATTTTTAAATATGAATGGTATTTCTCCATGTAAAAAAGTTAATTAACAGATAATCTCATAATAATGCAATAAAATGTTTTTAAGAAAGTTATTAATAAACATTAAGTAATGCAGATTCAAAAAAACATAATAGGGAATAAATTAATTAAAATTGTTACTAGAAATGTAACAGATGACTTTTTTGCAGTAATGTGAATGCTATCAGGCTGATATTCTGCATCTGCTCACACCTGCAGCCGGTCAGCAGCACCTGTCTGTACATCTCCACTGACGACTTCCCTCCAAACTGTCTGCCGGTCAGGTATGTGTTGTGAGACGAGTTGATGAAGTAGTGAGACAGCGGATGATCCATCTCCTGATAAACCTCCAGGCGGTCCAGAAACACAGGAGCGTTTTCATCAGACATCAGATACCGGCAGAACCCGTCACATGACATCAGACCTGCACAAAGCCGTCCATCCATTCATTACTCGTGCATTTATTAATGAGATGTTCAAGACAGTCCTTTCATTTATCTAAATCTGTCTGTTGAAATCAACATTAGTTACTGTACTTCTACACTAGGTGGCGTTCCAAGATTACAAAAGTGTATTTACATAATAACATACGAATGTGACTTTAAGGCATGAGCAATGCGAACAAACTATGAATAAGCATTTAAACCAAAACAGTAATTTTGAATTTTACTGTCCAGTAAAACTAGACAACATAAGACAATAAAATAAACACCAAAGGGTGGTCTGCATATAATTAAACAACTGCTTGCCATATAAATAAATAAACAAACAAATAAATGGAGATTATATTTTGATTTGAGTCTAAGTTATTTTACTATGTGAAAATATGCTTTAGGAAACTGTTTGAACATGGAACAACGGTCAATTATACAGTACATTACATATTTTGTTTTGTTTATATATATATATATATATATATATATACACACACACAGTATACACACACAATTTATGATTTTATATATACACTAGTGCTGTCAAACGATTAATCGCATGCAAAATAAAAGTTTTTGTTTACGTAATATATGGGTGTGTACTGTGTATATTATGTATATGCACGCACACACACACGTATATATTTAAGATGAATATGTTATGTTTATATATTAAATATATTTATATATAATATAAATTATATAAATATAAATATATGCATGTAAATATTTTTTAAATATATACATGCATGTGTGTGTTTTTATATATACATAATAAATATACACAGTACACACACACATACGTATATTATGTAAACAAAAACTTTTATTTTGGATGTGATTAATCGCGATTAATCATTTGACAGCACTAATATACACAAATATATACACAAAATTATATGGCACTGACCAATCACAATCAAGTATTCCAGAGAGCTGGGTAATAATGGGTAATAAATAAGAGTAATAAAAGACAAACAAATACATTAGACACCATTTGAGGAATAAATAGTCACATATAAACACAATAACGTGTCACACACCTTTCCTCTTCAGTTTGTCATCAGGTTCATATCGCTGTATGATTTGGAAAGCACATTTAGAGTCGAAGAACGGGAAGAGTATTTCATTCAGACGCGGATCTCTCTGATTCTACGCAAGAGAACAAAACCTGCAGGTTACGTTAACTAGGTCAAGGAACCTGAGTAATTTGTTAAAAGCATCTTTGTTTAATAAACACACGCAGAAAGTTAAACAAAAGGAACGGCTTGCTTTAAATTAAGCTGCTTCTTTGAAGAAGTAGAAGAGAAGAGAAATGTTAATTAAAACAATGGACAGTGGAGACTAAAGACTTCAAAGAAGAAAAGACACATAACAGACACAAAAGCCTTAATAACACTTGATCTAACTGGGGTATTGTGTCATTCAGGCTTACATTACATTTTCATCGCATGCAGATGTGAAGGAATATTACAGACGCTTCTGCTAAATAAACACGATGTCCAGGAGTAAGAAATGTGCAAAAATCAGCTCACATGCAGGATGTTGAAAGTTACAAAAGGAAGGAATTGCTTACTTCATTCAAAAAGTGGACTAACTGGTCTTCGCTTAAATAATCGCTTTTGTCTCCCCTGCTGAAAAGAAAAGCAGCACATGAAAGACGACACAAGAAAACTGAATGCTTCTGATTTTACTATTTACTTTCTTAAAGGAATAGTTCACCTAGAAATGAAGATTTACTCACCCTCAGGCCGTCCAAGATGTAGATGAGTTTGTTTCTTCATCAGATTTGGAGAAATGTAGCATTGCATCACTTGCTCACCAATGGATCCTCTGCAGTGAATGGGTGCCGTCAGGATGAGAGTCCAAACAGCTGATAAACAGTGGTGTGGATTACTTGTGGATCACTGTGATGTTTTTATCAGCTGTTTGGACTCTCATTCTGACGGCACCCATTCACTGCAGAGGATCCATTGGTGAGCAAGTGATGCAATGCTACATTTCTCCAAATCTGATGAAGACACAAACTCATCTACATCTTGGATGGCCTGAGGGGGAGGACATTTTCAGCAGATTTTCATTTTTGGGTGAACTGTTCCTTTAATTCATGTTTCTGGTGTTATTATGAATGATTCATCAGTGGCATTATTCATGTTGAATGTAATATACACAGCTCATTTTACTGCATGTTTCTCACGGAGTCTAGTTAGATTAACGGTTTAATATTCAAGCTCCTCAGGCAATGCATGATTAAATATAAAACTGTTTTGTTTAGTGTTGTGTAACTCCTAGGAAAAAACTCTTCCAAAACAACATTCATTCATGCAAAGTGACAAACATAACAGTAAACTACTATAGTTCATTGATGAGAAGGTGTTTGCAAATCTATTTCTTAAAGTCAGCATGAAACTGCATTCAAAAGCCATTTTAATTACATAATGGGGCCTATTTGCAAAGATAACAGTCTATTTATGGAGATGGACGTTATTATTACATTTCAATGAAAGATTATACATTTTAATATATTCAAAATATCATATAATACAAATATTTTTAGGAATAACATGCACTGATGAATCTTTCATAATAAGACCAAGAACATGTATTAGTAAAAACAGGGTTAATTTGACTTTATTTTACTATTTATAAAATTACTAAAACAGCAATCATTACAGAATATCTTGCTGAATTCACACATTTAATATAGTAAAGCTTTATATTTGTTGCTTAATTCATTTAATATACTGTATTTTTAAACAAACAATACAAGTTCAGGTTGCATGCTTACAGTGTCTTGAACAGTGCTTCAATATCAGTTCTGGGACAAATCTTCTGCGTAAGGCTGTAGAACTTGTCAAATTTGAAGATTTCATGCTCGATTTCATCGTTCTGTTAATGACATGAAAACAAACCAAGAGTTCTCCAATTAGAAACAAACCAGCCGGAAGGGTGTAAATTCATTAGTAGCAAATAATAGCAACCAATGGTTATCTTTACTACCACACTACTCAAACTACTGCTGCAGTATGTAGTATGCATGCAAGTTGCAGAAGAGAACATGCAAAATCCAAAGATAATGTGACCACAAATGTAGCATTATTATTATACATAATTATTGCATTTTCAATTATGTTTATAGATTTAAAAAAAAAAAGTCTCTCTCTCTCCCTCTCTCTCTATATATATATAACTATAAGATTATAATAATAATAATATATAAGAACTATAAGATAATCATATTTTTATTTTATTTATATATAAAATAAAATGTACATTTTAAATAATATTTTTCTATGAATAATATTTAATTTGATCTATTTTATATGCAGCATTCAGAAAACGGTAGTATTTAGTTCACTGTCATCACTAAAAGCAAACTCAAACTACATTCAGGCATGTGGTTCACAACTATATGCCTATGTGTGGCGTGGCATTACAATTATATCATTATTAATATCTCCATCCTAGATCTCCATGTATTTGATGATATCTGAGAGAAAGTTAAGTGCTGTTAAAAATTACCTTTCCACTGGGTAAACCGAGATCCTTCAGCGCCTGGAAAATACCCTTCTCTGTTTTGCCCGAGGCAAAGGTTCGTGTGATACTGCAGAAAACCAGACACATTCACTGGTTATAAAGACAGACATGACGCTTTTAAACATGTGAATGTCCTTCATTAGATCAAGTGTCTGTATCTGTGCATCTCAAACACTGCAGCATCATTTCTTTTCATTAGATCTATTGTTTTATCAATCCAAAGACTACTTTTATGTCAAACATGTTTCCTTGGAATGTATGCTTGTATTTCTTTATATAATCTTCTAAATGCATTGACATAGACTGCTGGTCCAAGGTTTGGAATAATTAAAATATTTTAATTTTTGAAACAAGTCTCTTCTGCTCACCAAGGCTGCATTTATTTGATCAAAAATACAGTAAAAACAGGAGTACTGTGAAATATCATTACAATTTAAAATGTCTGTTTTCTATGTGAATATATAGTAAAATGTAATTTATTTCTGTGATCAAAGCTGAATTTTCTGCATCATTACTCCAGTCTTCAGTGTCACATGATACTTCAGAAATAATTCTAATATGCTGATTTTTATCATGGTTTTACTGTATTTTTGATCAAATAAATGCAGTCTAGTTGAGCATTAAATATCTTAATTCCAAACGTTTGACTGGCACTGTACAAAACAAAAGTGACACATTTTTTTATCTAATGCAATGACATACAGACATTTTATGTACAACTTGAGTGGCCAAATACTATTTGCACACTGTATGAATAATAATCGCCATAAAATTTATCAAGATGTGATCTAGTAATGACATTTATCAAATATCAAAACTAGGGTTTCTTCATTAGAATGCTGAAAGTACCTCCTGACGGGTATTTTTCCATTCACATTGGTCAAAAATGACAACCGCATCCAACTGCAGAAAATAAATCAAAACACAAGCAAAGGAGAAACACTGAATATGTAAGCAAAAAGACATTGCATTATTAAATATTCTAGGTTAAGGTTAATAAACAAGCTCTTCCACCTTCAAAAAAAAAATTTTTTTACAGCTTAAATAACACACAATTTCCTGAGGAATTAATGTAAGTGCATTGAAACCATTTGTAATGTCTTGCCTCACAGACTTTCATTAGATGTGCATTACTGTAAACAAGAATTTTGCTTGTTTTTACAAACTGAGGGATGATAGAAAAGTATTTATCTGTGGCAACTGACAGCACATCATCAATGTTGCTGATTGAGCTTAGTAACTTATTTCGAATATTAATTGAAAGAAAATGTGATTTTCTAGGTGATTAGCTTGTATCAGTAACGAGTCAGAAACACGGCTGCTGGCCGAATCATTTCCTTGAATACTTCATGAAACCTTAAAAGTGACTCAGTGACTCGACACACAGCACATTAGCAGGCTGAAATCGCTCCAGTGATTTATAGCTGTGGTGGCACTCACTGTTTTCTCAGGCAGGTCATCGGACACACGTTATTCGCTCGAGAGTTCTGAATCAATGACCGCAAGCCGTCCATCCATTGCTGTAGAAACACACAAGCAAATATGAGGACACAACTTCAAATGTCAGTGAGTTTCCAGTCTCTTTGTGACCAACATGACTGATGAAACAAAAAAAATGCACAGTTCTAGTGAGCTAACATGCTGATAGATTTTTCTTAGAAAGACAAATCAATAGCACTTCTTAGTTCATGCATTTCCTGGGAATCGAACCCATAACCTTGGAATTGCATACTCAATCACATGCTTTATTGAAAAGTTCATCTGAAAATAAAAAAATTGCTGAAAACTTACTCACCCTTAGACCATCCAAGATGTAGATGAGTTTGTTTCTTCATCAGATTTGGAGAAATGTAGCATTGCATCACTTGCATCAGCAATGGATGCTCTGCAGTGAATGGGTGCCGTCAGAATGAGAGTCCAAACAGCTGATAAAAACATCACAATAATCCACAAGTAATCTACACCACTCCAGTCCATCAATTAACATCTGGAGAAGACAAAAGCTGAAACAAATCCATCATTAAGAAGTTTTTAACTTCAAACCATAATCCATAATAGCGCTTCCTCCAGTGAAAAAGTGTTCTGGTCTGAATCAGGAGAGACATCTGCACAGATCAAGCTCTGTTTAGCAGCCAAACCAGCTCTAAACAAATATGTGGCTGGATTTTGATGTGAGAGACAACAGGAGATGGACTTTTTCACTAGAGGAAGCGTTATTATGGATTATGGACTCGTATTTTAGCCAGAAGCAATGGTTTGAAGTTAAAAACATACTAAAAACGTACAAACACGCAGCTTTTGGTTTCACAAGATGTTAACTGATGGACTGGAGTGGTGTGGATTACTTGTGGATTATTGTGATGTTTTTATCAGCTGTTTGCACTCACATTCTGACGGCACCCATTCACTGCAGAGCATCCATTGCTGAGCAAGTGATGCAGTGCTACATTTCTAAAAATCTGTTCCCATGAAGAAACAAAATCATCTACATGGCCTGCGGGTGGGTACAATTTCAGCAAATGTTCATTTTGGTTGAACTCTTCCTCTAACCCCTTAAAATGAAGCACTGGGAATGAACCCATTAAATGATTGAGACTGAAGGACTGCATGATGGAACGAGTGGATGATGTGCTGTAAACATATTGCCATTTTGTAAACATGTTTTTTCTCTCTTAGAGTTTTACGAGTGTGCTATTTTTACAGAAGATTCCAGGACATAAAGGATGCCACATCGAATGCTCTCCTAATGCAAACACTCTTTCTTCCCAGAAATCTAATAATGAATCAAGCACATGTTTCAGACAAAACACAGGGGCGAGACCAACACAGGGTCCCGAAGCAGCAGCTGCTTGCTAGTTCAACACAAGTGCTCACATCCCAGGGGTCACGACGGACCCTCGAGACGAGCCGATAACATCAGCAGTGCTTTAAGACACGGCAGCGGTGACGGCACAGTGACAGGCGGATGTCAGGAGCTGGAATTAGATGACCTTCCTTCAGCTGAAAGGCTGAAAGTGTGGTCAGTTTTTCTATATATAATTTATTATTTTATTTACATAAGTATTTTTATTAATATATTTATGTTTTATTAAAAAACGTAGAACATTTATATAAAAAAAACATCTAAAAAATACAAATCTGTCAGATTATATACAGAACCTGACTGAAGATTCAACCATTATATATTTGTATATGTGTATGTACATATAACAGATTTTTATTATATTTATAATGATACATTTATATACTTTTTATACTTGATTATTTAAATTTATAAAATGTTATATGAATATTTTGATATATTATTTATATAGATGTATAATTTATACATTATTTTTTTATAGATCATTTTATTTATATATAAAATAAAATATGTAGAAAAATAATTCAAATGAAATCGGTTAAAAAAAGTCTGAAAAAATATTTCTATTATAAAGCAGATTTTTATTATATTTATAATTTTGAATTGAAGTACTTTTCATATTTTACATTATATTTATAGTATTTATCTATAAAATGTAAGATTGATATTTTGTTATATTTTATATGTACATAAATAAATTATTTAACAGATTTTTATTTTATATATAAAAATAAAAATGTAATATTAAATCTAATAAAATCTGTTAAAAACGACAAAAAAAAATTACATAATTTTTATTTTTTAGAAATATATTTTACATATTTAATACATACGTATGTATGTATGTATTAGACAGTTTGTAAAGTAAATATATTACACATTATTTTTTATAGCAGATATCATGTTATAATGTGATAGTCCAGGAAAAACATGCATTTTGTAATTAAATGTAAAATCAGGGCCCAAATTTGGCTGAAGACATTTGAACATGTTTAACAGATCAATCCAAAATAATTACTCTATCCATAATCTTTTATTTCTGCTCATGATGTATGTATGATGTTTCCCCCATTAATCACAGCTAGAGAGCGCAGACGTTACCTTAGCAGTGCTGCTGTTTTGCGTGACCATGCACATGAAGCTCAGGTTAACGAGGTCTGTGCCGCTGCATATGCAGATGATTCTGTCCTCCAGGTTACTCTCACATTTTCCCGCGGCCTCCAACGCCGAGAGGATCTTTGGGTCCTACAGAAAGTTCATGAACACAAAATGAACAAATCAGTCACCATTAGTTCTCAAATCACAACACAACCTCATCTTAACGAGGTCTGTGCCGCTGCATATGCAGATGATTCTGTCCTCCAGGTTACTCTCACATTTTCCCGCGGCCTCCAACGCCGAGAGGATCTTTGGGTCCTACAGAAAGTTCATGAACACAAATGAACAAATCAGTCACCATTAGTTCTCAAATCACAACACAACCTCATCAACATATACATTTATAAAGTGCTGTCAGTCTTGATGAAAAATAAATTAATGAGAAACATTCAAAAACAAATGAAACGATATTTAATGTAAAAAAAAGCAGAGTGGCTCTTCATTTTATTCATGTCAAACTGAATCAATTTCAAGGGCTGTTATTAAGATGCCGACATTTTTTCTTTAGAATAAAGTGCAGTGATGAATCATTTACAATAAAACGATGAAAAAGATGAATTAAGAAAGTAAATAGAGTTTCATGTTGAACTGAGTAGTTTTACCTTTGGCACACTGGTATCTCGTATGCTGTTGATAAGGGAAAACTCTAAAACTTGACCCTCCTAAGAAAAAAATATTAAACAAATCACAATTACATAAGCAAGATTTGATCACAATCCCTTGCGCTACAGAACAAGAGTTTGCTTTTTGAATGTATGAGCCTACAATATAGGAATTTTAATATGTAATAAATAAAACAAATTATTAAATAAAGTAAATCATTAAAAACAAATGTGTTTTCTTTCAGCTAGTTGCCAACATTTCTTTTATTTTCATTTAGTTTAACTTGATGTGCTAAAATAAAACAAAAATAAAAATGTGTAAAAAAACTATAATAAAAACTAGAAAGTTTCTCAGTCATATAAAAACAACACTGAATATTTCTGAATATAATAATACAATGTGATTTATAGTATTTGTAATGTTTGTAAATGTTTTGATTTATGTACTAGTATTTTATTGCAGTCAACTAAAACTAAAGCCCGAAACACACTGCACAATCTTCGGCTGTCCCAGACGATGTTATAGGATTGCTAAAATCATGCAGTGTGTCTCAGGCTTAAAATCATAATAAAAACTTGTGTTACTTGAAATAAAATAAACTTTAACTGAAAAAAAAAAAACCTTAAACTTGTTTTGTTGCAGCTAGTTGTCAACGCAACATTTCTCATTTTCATTTAGTTTAACGTGTTAAAATAGCAAAATAAATAAAAGTTAAAAAGTCTAAATTTAACTCAATGAAATACGGAAAATATACCAATATAAACTAGAGATGCACCGATTGATCGGCCAGGGTATCGTAATCGGCCGATTTTCCTCATGATCAGCCCGGATAGGTTATCGGCCGGTCAGTCTCACTTCTTTCCGATTTCGAGCCGATCCGTTTTGTTACCAGCGGCATTGCGCCGCGCCGCTCGCGTCCGATGTAGACATGGTCTAACATTGGTTTTGCTTTGTTTCACAGAACTAATCGTTGCCTGGGTTGCGTACGTATGTGTGGGGCGGAGCTATCAGAATAGAGGCAAGACCCTTTTGGGGTAGGGGCGTGGTTGTTTTTGTGTTTTCAAATATCAACATTGGCTACCAGAAATCACTTACTCTGCCTTTAAATTTTTTTATTATTGAAGTCGTAAATTAATTATTTTAAT